CTCAAGAGTTTAAGTCTGGACATATACCTCCTTACGTTTCAGTACTTAACACAACTTATGATGGAGGTTGATCGACTAAGTTTATCAATGTAAGCAAGGTACTTATTTAAATGTGGCATTTTTTTTTCCAAAATTAGGCACCAATAAACTTATATAATAATAAAAACAGACAGTTAACATGCTTTTTTGTTTGGGCTTTCAATTTAACCTCCCCACCTGTGACTCATTACAGAATAAGCTTCATTTTATTTTAAACGCTTTGTTAACTTTTAACCAAACGAATGACAGTTACATTATTTTAATTCCTTTTAATGATGGGAACGATAACACAAGAGGAGGCCTTTTGTGTTATCATTCGAGATGTTATGTGGTTTTTACTGAGACAGTAAAAACCACATAACATCTCGAATGATAACATATAAGGAGACAGTAAAAACACATAACATCTCGATTGATAACATATAAGGAGACAGTAAAAACCACATAACATCATGAACGATAACACAAAAGGAGACAGTAAAAACCACATAACATCTCGAATGATAACATATAAGGAGACAGTAAAAACCACATAACATCTCAGGGAATGAACTGGACAAAGAAGTCTATCTGGAACCGAAACAGAGTACAGGTGGAAAATGGAAAGTAAGAAAAATAGGAGAGAAGGCCAAACCACCTGCCCAGGCAGCAGATGTCTAGAAAAGAAAGGCCCAATCAGGTTAGAGGATAACAAAAGAGGAATAGAAAAGAATGCGGGAAACATCCATGGCATAAATATTGAAATGACAACAACCACAAGCAAGGAGAAAGAGGACTTAAGGGAAAGATGGTACAAGGATCATGTAGCAATGGATTGAAATGGAGAACTGGACAGGGTGTGAAGGACAAAGTTAAGATCCTATATGGCAAAACAAAGGGACATGGAGGATGGCCAAGACGAAAGAAATGGAAAAGAGGGAAATAACAGGAGAGGAGAAAGCCTTCTGGAAACAGGAGAATCTGAGGGTGTTTGACAGGGCAGCCCTTTAATTAGAAACACTTGACACAAATAAACCCTGAACAAACAACCAGGTGAAAAACTGGAAAAAAATGAGGTACCAAATAACGGGAAGGGCAGAAACAATGGCAAATGAACCATGGCCTGAAGGTTGATGAGCTTTTAAAAGAAGTAAGTAGATGTGATTGACTGACAGGGGATGGGAAGAGGCAGGCAGGAGCCAGTCGTCTATGAAAAGGAAAGTTTAAAGATCCAATGAGTAAAAATGAGGAATAAAAGAGCATACCACGCGACAAAACACACAGAGCCGAAGAAGGACCGACACCTGGAACTGGAATACACAACACACGTGGACATGACACTGGAGCAGTTGGAATATGAAGATAAGCATCCATCACGATGATTTGGTCATTCAAGTACTGGGGAAAAACAAAACAAAGTGAGACGTAGGATTCCATGAAGAAGCAAGGTGGCTCCAGATAAAAGTTCAACCAGAACAGGTCTACAACGGGTCTCCAATCTCCTGTCTTTCGAGGGACAACAGTTAGACGCAAGAAAAACCCCAAATGAGTGGGTACCTCCCATTCGACAGCCCCTTTGTGTAGTAGGTCTTGAAGTAGGCACGATGACAGGAAGAGATATGATATCGAGGAGGACAAGGTTTTATTGTCATTAGGTACAAAACCTTGTACATTTGCTGTTATGTTCAACTTATATTAAAGTTTTTCTTCATTACCCATTCAAGCCATCTCCAGCATTATTAGTCTCAAAGTGGGTTCCTTGTCATTGAATTTAAGCTCACATAAACTCGCTAAACATGGGTATATCTACTGGGAGGGAGGAATACATGCTGAAAATCTCCTGGGAGAAAGAACAATACTTAACCCAGGAGATTACATGGAGGCACAGTAACAGGTGCAGTAAAAAGAAATTTTCACTCAGTAGTTGTATCCTTAATCACAAAAAATCGTAGTGTGAAAGGAAGAAACTGTCAGTTAAACATAAGACACAAACTCCCAGCGAACTAAAGCCTGTTCTTCCCCAACAGACATCAACCATGAGAACTGGGGACTCGTGTCAGAACCATCGTCAACTGTCGCAGGAATTTCATCACGCACCATATTAAATCTGGAATTCATATTAACAAATTATGTATCGAAAAACAGAAATAGTTCTAAAACAAACGAGTAGAAACAACGTAAATCAAAAATTGAAGTTGAAACTGATAGAAATTTGTGATCAAGCACAATCATGATTTTAAACTCACATGGAGAGCGAGCTAAAACACACGTCTATACAATTGAGAAAGTGAGGATTGTTCTAGAATAGTAGAGGGAGCTAGCTGTACTAGTGTAGATGGTACAGTATGAACAGTGGAGGGTAGTTTATAAGCAGAGTTTAATCTATTCACAGCTTTTGAGTGAGGAATATAAGGAAATTGACTGTTATAAACTATATATCATAACATAATGTACTAAAATTAGGTAAACATTTTCAATAAATTAGAAGCACATCACTGCTGAACTTTAATAGTTTCACTATGTTGTTGAGCATTGCATTACTTTAACAACTACAGTTGTATTACAAATACAACATAGTGATATATGTATTGAATAACTTACTCACCTTTGAATATTCACATTCAGCAACAGCCCTCACCTTCAGGTGAGTGTGCAGTGCACTTGACACATTGTTCAGCTACAAAAGAAGAAGAATATTGATCTTTCTCTTGAAACGGTGTCAGCAAGTGTAACAAAAGAGTTTATAAAAAGTTATTAAATGCAACATTGGAGTACAATATAACATTTTTATACAATAAAATTAAACTTCACATTTTACAAACATGGATGATTTTTAATTAGCCTTATTCTAATAAGTGAGCATATGTAAACACTTTTTAGCTTAGAAGTTAGTGTGTTTTATTCAGAAACCTGGTGAAGTATGGCAAATAAACAAGTCTAATACTCCTGGTAAAAAAAAATCACAAGGTTTTTAATCACAATTATTGGGTCTACTGACTATATAGCTTAGTTTATAAATGGTACAGCATAAGTCTTGGTACAATTAGTACAAATAAAACCTCAAGAGTAATAAACTCAACATGTGTTACCAAAAAACAAAAACAACTGTCAAAAGACTTCATATTTCAAGAAAGTTTAATTCTGATATTAAAAGGTAAAATTGGGCAAAGGTAATTTATCTTTGTACATGTTTGTAAACTAATTTATTATATCTTCAACATCGAACATTACTTACAGACAAGAATTACAGTGTTTAATACTAACGGTTTTTTTGAAAAAGATTAATATGATCTGAATGCATTCTACCCACAAACTATGACAAAAATTTTTAAATAAAAGAGGCCAACATTAGCAGGTGAATACAGCATGTCTCCACCACACAATCCCAACATGACTAATTTTGACACCAGAAAAATTGTGAAAAATTAAAAACAGTTTATGTCAGTGCTTGGGACCAGAAAGAAGGTATCTTTGTAACAAATCTTATGTAGGTTGGACAAAACAAGGCCTAGTAATTGACCGAATACCTTAAAAACTACCCTTTTTGTGCTCTATTACCCCTGTAAAAGGACTCAGAATATGTAAATCGAACTTTTATGTAAGTCAATGTGTTGGGCGTATGAAAATTTATATTTGTGCTAATTTTCCTCTTGATTGCTGTAAATATGACCGGACAGGAGCCCAAAATGTATATTTTTGTTTAACCCTTGAGTCCATAAAATTCTTAAAAGGCCCAATTTAAAAAAATTAAAAACGTGTCTAGGCATATTGGACCAAGTTAAAACCCTACCAAGCTTCAAGTCAATCCACCAAGAAAGAAGATACAATATAAAAACAGCATGTCTCCACATATACGTGGCACTATGACAAGTTTTATTTACTGAACTAAATATGGTAACACCCTACTATTAGCCTAAATAATTCACAAAACTCAATTTATTAAAGTTATAATTTTCCTATACTGAAATGTATTTCCAATAGGTATTTACCTCTTATCACATATATATTCTTGTTCAGTGCTGCCCTCTATATGCATGGATGTCAGTTCCCAGAGGCCTGGGTTTTGGATTGTAGTTGAGTTTCTGAAAATATAATCCTCATCCTACCCCTGCATGGATGTCAGTTCCCAGCGGCATGGGTTTTGGATGTAGTCCTAGCCATTCTACACCTAGGGGCACATCTCTTTAATCTTACCCACAATTATGTTTTCCTGAACTGAATTTAATAAATATATGGTTCAGATCCCTATCCAGCCATAGTTCTCTCCCACTTGGATGTGCTTCTCCATCTTTCTGCCCACATATGTGAAATCTTTCCAAACTGGGCAAAGAGTATATCTTATCTCCCACGTATGTTCTTCTACTACAAGGATCCACTCTTTGGGAGTGTCCTTTGGATGCTTTGGTCTTTCCCTTGCACTGGTCTCTATACCTTTTCAATGTGGGATTCTAGCTATTAATGTGAGTGAAGGTAATGTACTGTTATAGTTTTCCTACACTGAAAATGTATTTCTGATAGGTACTTACCTCCTCTCACACTTCCCAACCTTTCTCCCCACTGTAAACTGGTGCTTTCATTTTCTGCCAAAACTCGAGGTGATAGTTTGATTGAATTGAATAGAGGGAGTCACATGTGTCCAAAGAGTATGTCACACTCTTATTGGTGGAGGGTCATCACATGATCATTTACATGGGAGGTGCATTTGAATTAGTTGATTCAAATATGAGTGGGAGCTTCGAGGCTTGTGGTATGCAAAAAAGGTTTTGCATATAGAGGGCAGCACTGAACGAGAATAGCTATTTATATGAGCAGAGGTAACACACCATATTGTAAACATTCTTGTCTTTTATAACTATAACCATGACATGATGTACTCTGATATCCCATTTATCTGAATTGTGCAATCTACTTAATACAGAAAGTTAATGACAGTAACGGCTTCAGAAAGCACCATGTCTAACTACCGGCTCTACAAAACTTTTAGAACGCATACGTTATGCTTTGTTACATTTCACAACAGAAACTAAAAACTTACTGAGTAAGGCTGGTCTTTTCTGGATACAATACCCCCAGCTGTGAAAATTCTATTGGAAGAAAATGGTTATTTACTCCATTAAAAATGAAAATGATATCCAAGTCCAAAGAAATGAACTTAATAGTAATATACAGTGATTGTCACGTGGCTAGTACCAAATAACAATAAAATTCAAACTTCACATTCAAGTGACAAATATGTGCATCAGTGCATGCTTTTATGTCTATACAATAAATGTTTCTGGTAATCCAATCAATAATTTGTTATTTTTGTTAATACATGTACAACTGAAATTCACACTACACCTTTCAGTTAACCTAAAGCAATCTTAAGATTGTACGTACCTTACATTATGTGAGATATCATGTTAAGTTAAACATGATAAAAGGTTTATAAACATGCCAACAAGCATATAATTAAGGAGCATGACCAAAGTGGCTTTCCGTGCAAAGAAGTTGGTAAAATGTTGCTCTATAGACACAACAGTAAAACATGAAAAAAACAAAAACAAACACTTATTCCATAGTTATCTACAAATACAAAATGTACGAACGGAATGGGTTCAATTTCTCTGATGGAATTTCCATGAAATGCATGAAGTTTGTATATGATCAAAGTAATTTTTATAATGCTGTTACAAACACAAAAACTGCATGTGTACATTATATATTTTTCTATAATATCTCATACTGCAACAATTTAAGACATAATAATTTAAAACTAATGACAACAAACGATTACCTTTATGGAAAATATTAAATGAAAATAAAAAAGCATATTTCCTTTGTATCGAGATACTAGTTTAATTGAAAAGTTACTATAGAAACACATCCAATACTCACTCGATCAGATCATACTGTTCTTTCAACTCTAAGCTCCTGGCAAAGTACAGTTTTTCAGAACTGAGAGCAGGTAAAAAAGATGCACATGTTCCATGTTTCTCCCACTCATGTTTCCTGTGTAACAAATACCATATTTACACCAGTTATCCTAAATTTTGTATAAATATGTCCAGCTATTGGTTTAAGACCAGACTGTACGTGTGTACAGTCTGGTCTTAAACCAATAGCTGGACATATTTATACAAAGTTTAGGATAACTGGTGTAAATATGGTATTTGTTACTAACAGCTGGACATATTTATACAAAGTTTAGGATAACTGGTGTAAATATGGTATTTGTTACTCACACGTACAGTCTGGTCTTAAACCATCAGCTGGACATATTTATACAAAGTTTAGGATAACTGGTGTAAATATGGTATTTGTTACTCACACATCACACGTACAGTCTGGTCTTAAACCGCCCCTCCCCTCAGAAAATGAGAAATATAATTATTTCTTTATTCATTCAACATATGTGTATGATTTTTTTGTATTCAATTCACAATTTAACATTACTTTGCCCCTCCCTAGAAATATTTCTTAGGATGCCCATGGCTAGTACTGTTAGCCATTCTTTTATTTAGTACTTTTTACTATCCATCCTTCCGTTTTCTATTCATTATCTACCATCCTTTCTACGGGTTATTTAGTAAATTACAACATTTGGCTAAGAAGTATATAAAAAAGTTTCTCTGGTATTTAATTCAATTTTATATTAAACCCGTTTTATCATTTTACTGTTACTCCAGTTTATAACACGAGAAGTTTCCGCCACATGTTCTGCTAATATCGATTCATTTACTTTGTATTTTCTACTGCATTTTGATGTTCCTTGATCCTGAATTTTAAATTTCTACACATCTGTCCAATATAAACTCAACTGTTGATACAAGAAAGTTTGTAAATCACACATTTATCAATTTCTTCTATTCTATCTTGTGTATTCGTGAGACAACTTAATTTCTACACATCTGTCCAATATAAACTCAACTGTTGATACAAGA